GTATATGTTGCTGACTAATGCTTACATAATCATTACCTAATATACCATATAAGGAAATTATCATGGGATATTTTCAACATAATTTCCTTATTTGGAAGGCTTATGTAATCCTTATGTAATCAGGAGCTCAGGGTCCATAATCATCAATAATCTCAACATACCAGCCTCCACATCTAATAATTTGGGGCCCCAACTATATAGCCTGAATATGCTTCACCCATCAGCCAACCATGAATATGGATATTAATTCACCAAAATTTGATGACAGAAAACCTGATGCCACCCTCTGCCTCTGCAAGATATGTGTATAGGCCCCTTGTGCCACTCACCTATCTCTGTTCAGGTGAGAGTGATTGGTAGGCCATAGGTGCAAACCAATAGCTTGGCATTTCTCATTTAATTTCTATGTGGGCAGATCATTTTGTACATTACACAATAACCAGAATTGATGTGCATGTGAGAAATTCTGTGAAATTGGTGCCCTGAGAGCACTGGAAGTGTTTCAAAGAGCTACATCATGAGACAAATAGGGGGCATCAATGAAATTCCAGTAATTACCAATTGGGAACCCACCTATATATGTAGATCTACATAGATCTACACAGAGCATCACTTGTATGTATTGACCTCACATCTACCTAGATATACATAGAAAGTCCATGATATACATTGAGCTATATATAACAAAGGGGTTATACATATTAGTACAAATCAATGCATATCAAGGGCCATCTAGGTAGCAACCTGCTTTTTGCTGATGCAGTTGTGCTCAACAAGGCCCTCTGCAAAACCGGGATCGGCTAGGACCTGCATGTGATTTGTGGTTGTCTCTATGGCTTCATTCCCAACCCGGTCGAGCCACTGATCTATTGGAATTTCATGGGTCGCATCGGCTATGGGCAGGACTACACCACCCACGAACCCCGCGACTGTGTCGGTGCCTGCTCCCAGCATGCCTGGCAACATATAAGTCAACCAGAAACCCGAGGAAAGAGAAAGACTCACATGTTACGATGCCAACCATGGCTGGAATGATATAATCCCACTTCGTACGACTGGGGATCCGCAGCCCGTGACGATTTAGATCCTGCTTGACAATACGATGCTCCTTCCGGGTCTGGAAGTAATGAGGAATCGAATAAAAGGCTGCAAAGAGGCTCACCCCACCGGTGGGGAGGGCTGAAGCAGCGACCACCACGTTTCCGACGGCAGCAATGTCACGCTTGAGATGGGTAGAGCGCAAGAGCTTGAGAACGGCCTTGTCGTCCTTTTCTTGGACTTTGCGCCTGAATTTCGAGAAGAGACCCATGTGGAACTATGTAATCGAGGATAAGAGTGCGTGTGTTGTGAATAGCGGAAGATGGTAGAGCTGGGACGGAAGGATGAGCCTTTATACAGTGCTGTACGTCTGGCCCATTAGCCGTATATAGAAATTCGATTGGTGGCCAGGAATGAATCGAACGTGCGCAACTAGACTTCCGTCGCAGCAGTCGGGTTGGGACATATCCGCCAGAGATATATGAGAAACACTGGTTCGTAAATCTTGACATCCAAAAATGGGTGATTGGTGCGCGAACCCCAAGATCGACATAGCCACGCTCCCCGAAATTGCAAACGGCTCGGTGATCAAGGGGGCCCTATCAAGAGATATGAACTGCCAAGCGTCTGCGGCCCCGCTGCGGGCTTACGCATCTTGCGTGGCCGGACAGGTCGGGCTTTTCTGTTGCCTATCGGGAGCGACCTTGCGGTGCTTTATTGTTCTGATCGAATTCAAAGGGGGAATGGGGCGTGGCGCCAGCGGGATGACTTGGCTATCCCATCTGTAAGGACCCGAAACGAATAGAAATTGTCGATAGCCGATAACGAGCGCAAAAATACAAAAAATCTTGTCGTATAATACCACCATTTTCGTGAATATAGCCTCAAAACAAAATTACATAGATGCATAAAAGAAATGGACGAGGGTGGATTCGAACCACCGACCGACATTGCTGCATCAAAAGCAAACATTGTGTGTGACCTTTTCACTACTCGCCCAAGTTACATTTCCGCACGAGTAAAATATACGCGTACATTTACCAGCAATGCTGAACGTCGAAAAGAGAATGGGCGAGGGTGGGTTCGAACCACCGACCGGCATATTGTTGCTTAAGAAGCGACATCGTGTGACCTTTTCACTACTCGCCCAAGTTCCACTTGTGCACGAATAAAATACATGCGTATATCTTAGCAGTAAAAATATGTGTGACAAAATGAAAAAGAGAGTGGACGAAGGTGGGTTCGAACCACCGAACCAATAATTCGATTTGGGTGACCTGTTCACTACTCACCCAGTTTTCACCAAGTCAATAACATGACATCACCTTGTACCAAATAACACAATGTCGGGCTCATGCAGACTGTGCTCCACACTTCAAAACAACCGGACGAGGGTGGATTCGAACCACCTGGACTTGAACCAATTCACAACAAAGTTGCTTAACCAGTGAGTGACCAATTCACTACTCGCCCGGTTTTTCTTCTGGCAAATGAGCAAGTGCTCACTCGGGGTCTCAGTCCATATATAATCGAAGAGTATTGCAGTGGTTGGAAGCGTAGTGTAGAACAATTGAGCTGGGGGATTTGTCGCTCTTTTGATAAACACGTTCTACAAAGAAAGCACGAGGGTCGAGTTAAACACCCACTGAATGCTTGGAAAGCTAGCGTATTTGACAGTATATTGCTAGGTCCCATTTCATTGCTCGACGAACAACCGCACTTGATAGTTAATCATTCTTTTTTTAATCCTGCTTAATTGAAAAAAGGAGTGGACGAGGGTCGATTCGAACGACCAACGAAATTGCTGGTAAAGCCGACGTCATTGTCAAGTGCCGTTTCACTACTCGCCCAGTTTTCATTCACGCATAATTACCTTATCCTTGTTCCAACACAAACTTTGCATATATCACTTTTAATAATAGCATATATGCGTCATTAAA